AATGATAACTGATAATTATACATCGAAGATCAAACATAAGCATCATAGTTCCTGAATATTAAATTAATATTACAAAATTATAATTATCTAAAAATAAAGCTAACATGACTGGCATAAATTAGTCTAGATAGATCTTACTATAATCTTAAAGATTTTTATTTAGTAAATATATGAATCACACAAATTTTGAAACCATACAATTTCTTATTCACTGTGATCAGAATCCTCGGGTTCGTTTATGCCCAAATTTMTTTGAATCAATATAAATAACACTCACTTACCTATTATAATTAGTTAGTTAATTATTTAAAGCAATTTAGCTTTCTATTCATCGATTTTGTTTCCTGCACCTTAAAAAWTCGTAGATTTTTTCCGTGTAACCGGTATCAACCCAAAATGAATTTCTACAATGCATTTAATKCAATATTATATATGTATAATGTATATATTTATAATTTTGAATAAACAATATCGGTAGTCCACACACAAGATATACCATATGTTTTATTGCATAATTAATGATTTTTCCAGGTGGAGACACCGTCAAGTTTGGAATGCAGCGGCTCTGGGGTGCAGCTGGATGGGGTACCATGTCTATAGTGGCTGGRGGTGCCATCGACTGGTACAGCAGCGGCCAAGCACAAAAGGACTATCTCCCCGGATATTTACTATCGGCGGTCTCGTTTTTCGTAGATTTCATGGTGGCGTTCCACATAAAGGTATTTCCGCTATTTTCCCGCATAATATGTTTTCTCCGTCTTACACGCGTACGATATAGCAAATTGTACGCTCAGCAGAATACGTGTAGCTCCGTTAGTTTAAAAATTAGAGTGAATTTATCTCTTATAAAATCTAAAGGTAAGATTGTTATCTAAACAACCTCATAGGCTTTTTATTATATTTTTATTTTAAAGTGAGTTATGAGWATTTCAAGATGTACAAGCAATTTATAATGTTAAAATGCTCATAACTCACTTTAAAATTAAAATATAATAATATCGTTAAGTTTTTACATAATACTATAGACAATCTCAAATACATTAAGTCACTGTAGTAAAAATTTAATTAAATTAACACAACTAACCTAACACAGGGTTGTCCAACTGGCGGCCCGCGATGCTATTAACTGTGGCCCGCGTAAGGTTTTACGGAAATCATATATTTTCTTTAAATGCTACCATTGTAAAAAAAKATGTTATAAAAGAAAAACACAAAATGCATAATAAAAATATTTATAGGTATATACGAATA